CATGTGATGTAGAAGAGACATGAAGAAGAGGGGACACATGTTGATGAAGAAGAGACATGAAGAAGAGGGGACACATGTTGATGTAGAGAGACATGAAGAAGAATGAAGAAGAGGGGACACATGTTGATGAAGAAGAGACATGAAGAAGAGGGGACACATGTTGATGTAGAAGAGACATGAAGAAGAGGGGACACATGTTGATGTAGAAGAGACATGAAGAAGAGGGGACACATGTTGATGTAGAAGAGACATGAAGAAGAGGGGACACATGTTGAGTAGAAGAGACATGAGAAGAGGGGACACATGTGATGTAGAAGAGACATGAAGAAGAGGGGACACATGTTGATGAAGAAGAGACATGAAGAAGAGGGGACACGTGTTGATGTAGAAGAGACATGAAGAAGAGGGGACACGTGTTGATGTAGAAGAGACATGAAGAAGAGGGGACACATGTTGATGTAGAAGAGACATGAGAAGAGGGGACACATGTTGATGTAGAAGAGACATGAAGAAGAGGGGACACATGTTGATGTAGAAGAGACATGAAGAAGAGGGGACACATGTTGATGAAGAAGAGACATGAAGAAGAGGGGACACATGTTGATGTAGAAGAGACATGAAGAAAAGGGGGACACATGTTGATGTAGAAGAGACATGGAGAAGAGGGACACATGTTGATGTAGAAGAGACATGAGGAAGAGGGGACACATGTTGATGTAGAAGAGACATGAAGAAGAGGGGACACATGTTGATGTAGAAGAGACATGAAGAAGAGGGGACACATGTTGATGTAAGAAGAGACATGAAGAAGAGGGGACACATGTTGATGTAGAAGAGACATGAAGAAGAAGAGGGGACACATGTTGATGTAGAAGAGAATGAAGAAGAGGGGACACATGTTGATGTAGAAGAGACATGAAGAAGAGGGGACACATGTTGATGTAGAAGAGACATGGAGAAGAGGGGACACATGTTGATGTAGAAGAGACATGAAGAAGAGGAGGACACATGTTGATGTAGAAGAGACATGAAGAAGAGGGGACACATGTTGATGTAGAAGAGACATGAAGAAGAGGGGACACATGTTGATGTAGAAGAGACATGAAGAAGAAGAGGGGACACATGTTGATGTAGAAGAGACATGAAGAAGAGGGGACACATGTTGATGTAGAAGAGACATGAAGAAGAGGGGACACATGTTGATGTAGAAGAGACATGAAGAAGAGGGGACACATGTTGATGTAGAAGAGACATGAAGAAGAGGGGACACATGTTGATGAAGAAGAGACGTGAAGAAGAGGGGACACATGTTGATGTAGAAGAGACATGAAGAAGAGGGGACACATGTTGATGTGTAGAAGAGACATGAAGAAGAGGGGACACATGTGATTAGAAAGAGACATGAAGAAGAGGGGACACATGTTGATGAAGAAGAGACGTGAAGAAGAGGGGACACATGTTGATGTAGAAGAGACATGAAGAAGAGGGGGACACATGTTGATGTAGAAGAGACATGAAGAAGAGGGGACACATGTTGATGAAGAAGAGACGTGAAGAAGAGGGGACACATGTTGATGTAGAAGAGACATGAAGAAGAGGGGACACATGTTGATGTAGAAGAGACATGAAGAAGAGGGGACAATGTTGATGGAGAAGAGACAGAGAAGAAGAGGGGACACATGTTGATGTAGAAGAGACATGAAGAAGAGGGGACACATGTTGATGTAGAAGAGACATGAAGAAGAGGGGACACATGTTGATGTAGAAGAGACATGAAGAAGAGGGACACATGTTGATGAAGAAGAGACGTGAAGAAGAGGGACACATGTTGATGTAGAAGAGACATGAAGAAGAGGGGACACATGTTGATGTAGAAGAGACATGAAGAAGAGGGGACACATGTTGATGTAGAAGAGACATGAAGAAGAGGGGACACATGTTGATGAAGAAGAGAATGAGAAGAGGGGACACATGTTGATGTAGAAGAGACATGAAGAAGAGGGGACACATGTTGATGTAGAAGAGACATGAAGAAGAGGGGACACATGTTGATGAAGAAGAGACGTGAAGAAGAGGGGACACATGTTGATGTAGAAGAGACATGAAGAAGAGGGGACACATGTTGATGTAGAAGAGACATGAAGAAGAGGGGACACATGTTGATGTAGAAGAGACATGAAGAAGAGGGGACACATGTTGATGTAGAAGAGACACGAAGAAGAGGGGACCTTTAAGAGCTCGGTAATGTTTACGTACTCTCTCCGTCTCCGTCCCCGTCAAACTCGTCGATCATGCCTCGCAGCTCATCGTCGCTGATGTTCTCTCCGAGTTCTCGAGCGACTCTTCTCAGGTTCCTCAGGCTGATCTTCCCCGACTCGTCATCATCGAACAGCTTGAAGGCTTTCAGGACCTCCTCTTTCGGGTCTCGCTCCAGGATCCGGTCGGTCACTGCGGAAAACACACACACACATACCATGTATACATCACTTCAGGGGACATTACATTGACTTACATGCATTTCCTGGAGACTTATCCTAACCTTAACCATAACCAACACATGCCTAACCCTAACCAAGTCTTCACCCTAAAATTAATGATTCCCCTCATGGGGACCTCCAATTTGTCCCCATAAGGGAGGCGAGTCCCCACACGTGACTGTGTAAACAGATGTAGGTCCCCACAAGTATAGTAATGCTAACACACACACACACACACACACACACACACACACACACACACACACACACCACACACACACACACACACACACACACACACACACACACACACAGGGTTAAAAGAGTGTCTGGCTGTAAACTCAAACTCACCGACTTCATTGAAATCCTCCAAAGTTATCTTCCCGTTCCCCTCTCTGTCGTAATCTTTAAGGATCTTCAAAACATCGACTTTCTTCACCTCAAAACCGAGCGCACGCATCGCCACCTGTTGGGGTTATACGGTATATCAACAGTTACAACTTTACAGATATCTAATATCCTGGTGTTCATCTTCTTTAGGATGTGACTCAGGGTCTTGAGCTGTAAACTGCCTTAACCCTTATGTTGCGTTGGGGTCTCCGTGACCCGTTTCAAGTTCAAATGATATAATAATCACGCTCTAGTTTTTTGTATCGAACGAGGCTTCATGATATCCTCCACTGAGGCTTTATAAACACTACAAAACACATTTTGATCATTTGAGCCAAGTCTGAAGGTCTTATAAAGAGAGTATCATTTGGTGTTGGGGTCTGGGGAGAGCCAGCAGAATTGTTTTGGGTGACTCGAGGTCAAATGTGGCCCAATCATGATTCATCTTTGATTTTAGACCCCCCCCCCCTCCCCTTCATCCACTGTAACAATAATCTTTCCCAACATGCACCTGGTCTCCCCCCCCCCACGGGAACTCCACCTTTCTCACAGAATATGCACTAACACTTGAACCTGAACTCACACTTGCACGTAGGGCTGCTCGATTATGGCAAAACTCATAATCACGATTATTTTGGTCAACAATTAATATCACGATTATTAAATACGATTATTCATTGACTTTGAAAACATCCATTAACTGAACTTTAAAACAAATGATCATTTGAACAGCATCTTTGAACTGTTGATTCCCTGAACGTAGAATTACTAAATTTACTAAAATAAACGACACATTTAAATAAATAATATCAAAATAATAAATACCAATAAACAAGATCAACAAATATTTTGGAGCGCACTTCCAGCTTCTAAACATATAAATATGATAAATAAAAATAAACGAGACTAAAATAAATCACAACTTAGCAAAGCTAAATAATCGGTTTTTCCATTATGTTGTTTTCGTAATTGACGCCGGCCAAAATCGTAATTGCGATTAAAATACGATTAACGGCACAGCCCTACATGCACGTGTGTGTGTGATGTGTTTCGGGCCATAACACTAAATGACAACAGGATCGTACGGTTCTGAAAGCGTAACAAGTTAGTTATGATGTAGTTAAATCAATATTGATTGATAGTCTTTGTTTGGTGTGTTTTGGACTGAGATCAATCACGGGTCAAAGTGTACCCGTCTAACCCTAACCCGCGAACACCATGAACGGTGACAGCGTCCGAACAACACAAGGGCTAAAGCATGAGGGCAAAGGTCTAGTGTCCTCTACTTAATAATGCAGAACGATATTTAGGTGTTGAGACATTTTATCAACAACATATTTCACTATATTACAACGTTGTAGTGCCTCGCTGATCCGTCTTATCGGTCCTGGCTTACCTTGAGCTCGTGATAGTCGATTTCTTTGTCTTTGTCGGTGTCGAACAGCTCGAACGCTTCTTTGATCTCATGCTTCTGATCCTCGCTCAGCTCTCTCCTCTTCTTGCGTTTTGTTTTGTCCGCAGCCACATCGGTCCTGGGAGGAGACATGTCGGAGTGACACAGGAATAATTACATCACATGTCACTTTTAGACGCTTTTATCCAACACTGAGGGCGATCCCCACAGGAGCGCTTTGGGCGAAGCGTCTCAGGGACACAACGACATGCTGACTGCAGCGGGGTTTGAACTAGGGTTGCCAGAAACTGACCATGATCAAAATCGATTATTCGGCAGCCCTGGCGAATAATAATCGATTATTCGACCGACCCCCCCCCCCATAATAAATATTATTATAGCAATTTATTTATTGCAATGCTATTATTAATAATAGCATTGCAATACATAAATTGTGCGCGCATCTTCAAATGGATGCACTCAAAACGCATTGCTGAGGTTGAGCTGCGACCAACGTCTTTCGCAGAGCTTGCATTTCACTTCCTTTGGACTTATAAGTTTGAAGTAGTTCCACGAGGAGGAACTCTTTTTACCTGAAAAACATGTGCCGTGGTGAATGTAATGTATCATTTATATCATTTACTGACGGTAAAAACCCTCCACTGAAGTAAAGTCTGTCAAAACCTAACTTCATAGTAGGAGTTGAAGCACTGACTGTACCGAGAGATGTCAACACATTACAATCATGTTTCAAGTTACTATCGATCCCTCGAGGCTTTTTTATTTATCGTAAGAAGGAAGAGACTTGTTCTCGAGTTGTACAGGAAAGGGACTTTAATAAGAAAGGTAGCTAATGTAATGTCAGACAAATGTAGGGCAAACATAAAAACAATCTTATCCTCCTTGTAGCATAACATGTAAATACTCAAGTGAAGTACAAGTACATACAATGTGTACTTAACAACAGTACATAGTGTTTCTTTCACCAGTGTGAATTGCCAACATTTGATGAAGCGAAAACACCTTTCATTCAAACACTCCCAAAACACTGACTGCACCACATTTAAATCACCTTTTCAGAAGTGCTTTGAGTCTGTAGTTAACGCTGTGTTTTATATGTTTTAAATGTGTGTTGTTTTAACGATGTCTTCATTAGTTTTGACCGTGTAACAGTGTCTTTGGGGTTCGCAAAAAGCGCTCTATAAATCAAATGGAGCATCATTACCACATATTGGTAATGAATGTGTAATATTAAGCGATTCAAGTGGTGTGAATTAACGTTAAACTAAACCGTAAGGAGGAAATGAGTCAGCTAAATAAGCTAGCTTGTTGGAAACATTAAAGTTAGTAAACGTTAAACTGTAAACTAGCTTAGACTTAGCTTTTCAAACACTGATATTAAAGCCACACATGCTAACACTAGCTAGCAAGGAATAGCTAATGTTGGCTTTACGTACATTACTATGACCAGTAGTGAACAAATAAACTAGAAGTACTTGAGATAGAGAGGTTTACCTTAAAGACAGACTCATTTCGGGTGGATTATAAAACGTTAAAACGGTCAAAACAACACGTTTTTGTCGCTAAACTCACAGGTTTCTCTGCCACACAAAAACCACAACAAACCGTGTATCCGCCGCGCGCTCACACAGAGCGTTCCCATTGGTTGCTGGGGAAGAAGATGCTCTCTGATTGGTTCACGTCAGAGCCATTCAATCTTCTTCTTCTTTGGTGTTGCTCTACTGCCATCGTGTGGAAACAACTAGTGATTAAATACTCTGTCGTTGACAATAATATTAATAAAATATAAACAATAAAATGTATTATAGATAATTGTGGATAAGAAAAAAAAATCAACTAGTTTCAAAACACATTTATTTTCATTATAATATAAAAATAATAATGAATATATAATTAGATGATATATACTTTATTGATCCAAAATAGACACATTGCACATAAACACATACATAACAGTAGAACAGATATATCTTTAAAATATGCACTATAAAACCAACTGTAAAGGCCTGGTAAATGCAAATAAAAACAATATGTAAGCCTATGAAAATATTTCGTATTATATATATAAATAACTCCAGTTTCAAAGACCCTCTTTTTTATTTGTATTTAAATCTGACAGTCTTTATTACCCAGCAAATTCTCTCAAGAGTCTTGCAGATTTTTAACTCATATACCTGTTGTTATTTTTCTTCTTTACTTGCTTGTTAAGAGAACAAGGAAAAGCGCTTTATAAATCACATGCATTATTATTATTATTATTATTATTATTATTATTATATAAACTAATCCAGAGAGAGGATGAGGTAAGAGACAAAAGGGAGTCTCAGTGACGGAGCGATATCTTTCCTGGGATGAGATTGTCTTTCCTCCAAACCTCTATCATGAACACACACATGGGATACAGGACACACACACACCGTGAGACAGGACACACACACACACACACACACACACACACACACACACACACACACACACACACACACACACCACACACACACACACACCACACACACACACACACACACACACACACACACACACACACACACACACACACACACACACACACACACCATGAGACAGGACACACACACACACACACACACACACACACACACACCGTGAGACAGGACACACACACACACACACACCCACCCACCCACTGTGAGACAGGACACACACACACACACACGCGCACACACACACACACACCGTGAGACAGGACACACCCACACACACACACACACACACACACACACCATGAGACAGGACACACACACACACACCCACCCACTGTGAGACAGGACACACCCACCCACACACACACACACACACACACACACACACACACACACACACACACACACACACACACACACACACCCACCCACTGTGAGACAGGACACACCCACCCACACACACCCACACGCACACACACACACACACACCGTGAGACAGGATACACACACACACCCACCCATTGTGAGACAGGACACACACACACACATACACACACACACACACACACACACACACACACACACACACCGTGAGACAGGACACACACTGAGATTATCAGAGACCCGGCGGCACCTTCACACACACACACACACACACACACACACACACACACACACACACACACACACACACACACACACACACACACACACACACACACACACACACACACACACACACACACACACACACACACACCGAGGGTGAGAACACTGTGTGGGAAATACATGATAGAGATGAAGAGGAGTTCAGAGGTCAACAAGGGAGGAAGACTTTGAAGAGGAATTGGAGGGAACATCTCACTTCAGTAAATATTTAATAAATAGACATTGATAGTAATATCTCTGACTGAATGACGCAATCCAATACTCCAATAATACCTGGTGGCCTGTACCTGAAGAACTGTCACACCCTGCAGCTCTCCATCATCAACTTGTAATCCTGAAATAATAAAAAGTGCAGGACTCGCGATACGACTTTGACCTCTGACAGGGCTCTCCAGAGAGGAAGCAACGGCAGCACGAGAGAAACAACTCATCTGTGCAGCGCTCAGACACACCGGGTAACACGGCTCCCCAGAGAGGGCTCTCTGTTGACAAACAGCAGGGAGGGACTGCTTCAGCATATTATATATTTCTCTGAGCCTTCAAGATGAGGAAAAAGGGAAAAGTTGACCCAAAGATTGGTGCTGAAATGTGTTCAGAACCGCCTCTGATATTAAGAGTACATCCTGCAGAGTGAGGGTCATGTGACTGACACAGTGACAGTTTTCAATAATCCTTTTGCTGAGTTGCAATGAAATGCAATGGGATTTCACGGACAGACTTTGCATTCAGCGCTGCGTGAAGGAAAATGTGTTTTTTGTTGCAATCCTGAAATTCCAAAAGCAAATGGCGACTTAGGAGCTGAGGTGAGGTGAGAGTGAACTCCTGCGCTCCGACCGTAGTTTGTTCATAGTTTAACTAATTGTATTTATTTAGCTATGTTGGATATCAATATAACAAGCTACCTACCTGACAGCAGGACTTCTACTGAAACAGAGTATTCCTACACTCTGGTACTTCTACTTTTACTCAAGAACAAGACCTGAGTACTTCTACTTTTACTCAAGTACAAGATCTGAGTACTTCTACTTTTACTCAAGAACAAGATCTGAGTACTTCTACTTTTACTCAAGTACAAGATCTGAGTACTTCTACTTTTACTCAAGAACAAGATCTGAGTACTTCTACTTTTACTCAAGAACAAGATCTGAGTACTTCTACTTTTACTCAAGTGCAAGATCTGAGTACTTCTACTTTTACTCAAGTACAAGATCTGAGTACTTCTACTTTTACTCAAGTACAATATCTGAGTACTTCTACTTTGACTCAAGTACACGATCTGAGTACTTCTACTTTTACTCAAGTACAAGATCTGAGTACTTCTACTTTTACTCAAGTACAAGATCTGAGTACTTCTACTTTTACTCAAGTACCTGATCTGAGGACTTCTACTTTTACTCAAGTACAAGATCTGAGTACTTTTACTTTTACTCAAGTACAACATCTGCGTACTTCTACTTTTACTCAAGTACAAGATCTGAGTACTTTTACCTTTACTCAAGTGCAACATCTGCGTACTTCTACTTTTACTCAAGTACAAGATCTGAGTACTTTTACCTTTACTCAAGTACAACACCTCCGTGATATTTAAGGTGACGCCGTCCTGAGTTTGACCTTGGGCTCTCAGACAGAGGTCGAGCTCCAGACTCCTCTCCGGCCTTGAACTCACGTCTAGTTTCTGAGGTGAGCATGATGAAGGGAGGGGGGGGGTAATGACTGGAGAATATTTACCTTATCCAGCACAGAGGCGGCTTTCTAAAGGAACCACATGTGAGCCAGGGGGGTAAACAGATTGGGGGGGGGGGGGTGAGTGCAGAAAGCAGCTTCTGTTTGGCTCTGACTGACTTCGATTCAGACGCTCAGAGGAAGTTTATTGAAGCTCCAGATGCTCGGCAGGAGGCTGTTCTGCAGACGAGGATAAATGAGTTTTCATCGCTGGCGTTCTGACACACAGCGAGCATTGTTCAGCTTCAAAGGATTCAACTCTGGCTTTTAGGACTCGAACCTGCAGAACGTGCAGTTTACTCTCAGCTGGACGCAGAGCTTTATAGTGAAGCTCAGACAGGAAGGTGGTTCAGACCCTTTTCTTAATGAGAGCAGAAACCCATGTAATCTGCTGGGACTGTTATAAGAATAGACTTTCACTTCATTTTGACCCTAATGAGTTAAATACCTGTTTAAAACACAAAATACACGAGAGAGACTACAAGAAATAATCCAGGAGAAACGCAGCTTCAACTTTCCAGCTGTTTAAATATGAAATGATGGAATTCTGTCATGTAAACACTTTGACATCACAAAACTATACACAATTGTGAATCCTGATTTAATGCCATTAACAATTACATTTGTATTTTAGTAAATGAGAGATGTATTTTTCAATCTAATAGATCGCTTCAATCCAAGTCCAATGTTATTTACTCGCTCAAATATAAATCCAGTTCTTCTATTTCTCTTTGACTGAGTTATGATTTGTATAAACAGTCAATCGTCTTGATCTCTTTACTCAAAGCAAACCAAAACTAAATCACTGTTTAAATGTATCATATTTATTTGATGTTTTTTAACCCTTAGATGCCCTTAGAGTGCCTGGACCCACACTCTTCCATAAGTGGGTCAAAAAGAACCCGTATTAGAACAATATGTGTTTTTATGCCATTTTTGTCATTTTGGTTAAGAAAAAATCACTTGTATAATATTTACTATTATATTTTGGTTCAAACTAGAAATATTTTAAATTCAATTTTTCACTATTTATAATTTTAGATATTGTTTTTACATTTTGAAAAAAAAACGAAATCCCGTAGAAAATGCATTTTTGACCCACTTATGGAAGCTTGGGGTAGAAATACAAAAACTACAAAATGTATACAATTTTTATTTGAAATGTGAATGGCATGATATCCAAAACATGTTTTTTGAGGAATAGCTGGAATATGAAATGATAAAAACATGTAATTAAAAAGATACTTCAAGAAAATCACCTCACCGGGTCAAAGAAGACCCACTCATGCATCAGGGGGTCAAACTTAATTTCAACTCGGCCACATTAGCATCATGGTTGCACTCAAAGGGCCAGTTTTATATATAAGACTATATAAGAATACATATTTAATATATATAAAATAATGTAATATATTACATTATTGCCTCTGCATTGGATTATTATCGGATAGGGTAATAACTTCATAATTAAAGCAGAAGTCTAGGGCAAACAATTGCAAGTCTCTTCTGTGCACATGTCACAAAATGATTTAAAAAGAAAAGCCAAATTCTGAAAAAAGTTAAAAAAAAGAAGTGACATTTAAAAAAAAAAACATTTTGAAAAAAAAAGTCAAATTCCTAGAAAAAAGTCTAATTTGAGATGCATTGTGGGACATGTAGTTTATGGGCAATGTGCTTCTGTAAATCATCACGTAACCGTATAATAAACATATGATAACATATATTCTTTGCAAGCTCTTGTGGGGCCACATGAAATGAAGTCGCGGGCCGGATTTGGCCCCCGGG